ATTTAACAAGTTCATAGTTAACGCGATGTTTCCTTACTTCCGTAGACGTCTCCTCGGAAAACTTCCATCGGCAGCATGTATCTAATCGCCGATTTCATTTTCCCAAAATTAACGCGCCAGACATATTTTGTCGACTCTGAAATTCTATCGGGAGCAACTACAAGTGTTGATTCCACACATTAATGTACTCTGATCGCAGGAACCAAAGATTAAAGTTTTGCAACCATTGCACCAACGCTTCCCTTACTCCTGATGACAGAAAAAGAGCGGAATACAAGCCAGAAGGTAAGTTTCACCGTCTTGCAGCGGAATATCTCATAGCAAGCGAAGTAATTAACTCCGCGATAATAGCAGGAGGCCCACATGGCGGCGTGAAATAATTACCTGCTGAGTTTGCAGCATGTTTCCTCGTAGTCGTCCAGTACAAAGTCACCGTTAGCTTCTTCTGTCGGATTTCTGAGAACCTGGGGCCCTTCAAACTGCATCTGTTGCTATTTGTACCATCAAAGAGATACATATTCCTAAATCAGAAGTCATGGAAGACGAATTGCTTAAGACAACATTTACTTATGGGGAAGTGCGAACAGTGGCTGGGCTAACTCATGAAATATTAACCGAACTTCCGAAATGCGTTTTCGTCTTGAAAAGATTAATTTAGTAGGGTTATAAGAGAAATCATATTGCAGCATAATTCTATAATAATTCAGTTGCCTCAGGATTCCGGTTTTCGAACGAACTTCTTTTTGGCTGCTTGCAGAAATTACACTCTGTATTTAATGACTATTTTAATTTGTATAAATTTTTCTCATTGATTTTCGATGACCGTGAAAATTCAATTACATTTCATGGAAAACATGCATTAAGACATCCATTCTTCAGCAGATTCACAAGAATTATCTTTTCGAAACGAAAACGCATTGCGGAATTTTGGTTGAAATTTTACGAGTTAGCTCACCTACTGTACACAAGGCGCCGCATGCAGTCGCCGAAAGCGTTCTCGCCAGTAAAGTTTTGTCTGTACCCGTCATTGTGTTGCCTAGATTCCAGCTTGTGTATGCATCTATCGCTGGGCATCAGTGTCCGCTCCTCAAGCAAAGAGAGAGAGGTCAGCGTTAATTGGCTTCGATCTCTCGGGACAGACCTCGCGTGGTCCGCGCAGCAAATCAACAAGGGACATAAGGCGGGGAGAAGGACAACACGACAAAACGGCGGAAGACGAGGCGTCGTGGACTGCCACAGTACCACCCGGTTAGACCAAATGCGACGTCTAACGGTGCCGAAAGAAATGCTCATGTCTAAAACACATGAGTAACCATACGGTCAGAACAATGAACGGGGCATCCACTGCAAGTGATATATACAGGGAGCACAGAGTAAGAACGAGTGTCTTGCGGCTAGAGTGTTGAAAGTCGATGCGTGTGCAGTTGCACTTGGGGGTAACGAGTATGGGGGAGCATTGAGTACATGAGACGGCAAAAATGAGGATCAAGGAGGTTAAGTAGAGCACAGGGAACCACAGAGTTCATTGGAGGGGTATCGGGGTCTGCAGCTTTAAGTTCCGCCATGCCCACGACCTCCCTTTGATTTTCGCGTTGGACATTGAAGGTCATCGTTCTATGAGGAGTAACCCAGAAAGGATCATCCTACAGTGGTTCAAGTGGCCGGCGGTCTCGATCACCTCGGATACAGACGTAAAGAAATATGGCCACGTTTATTCCAGGTAAGTCTATGTGAGGGATGACATCGGCGGAATGGTGGAATGTGTACGTATGAATTGCCGGAGACAGTGCAGGATGCTGGTAAGATCCTCGACTTCAACTCGACGATAGGCGAGATCATCTGACCGGGAAGCAGGACGTTAGCACGGAACAAAAGTTCAGCAGCAGAACAGAGAATGTCTGACTTGAGGCCAAGGGTGTGACTGTAATCCTGGCTACCACGACCTTTAGGCCAGGTCACGAATGGAAACAGATGATGGACGCCAGGCAGAAGGAAGGCGTATTTTTGTACAGAATAACTGTAAAGGGAGTTGGAGGGATTTAGCAGCCGGACGAGGGCACGTCTGGCGGCGGGAAAGCGGCGTCCCAAGGGAATGTGTCAAAGTGTTCCAAGCCAGGACACGTAGGACTTAGCCTAGAATTTGATTAGTCAGTTTAAAAACCGTGCGGGCGAATGCTAGATAATTCGGATACGCAAGTGCAGATACACGCGAGAGCACAGTGCTGCGACGAACGCATGAATTAAGGCCACTACAGACTTCCTCTGGGGCCCAATCTGCCTGATCTGCACTCACAGACATTAAGAACAATTCCAGCACTGAAAACCAGTAGAAACCAGGCTGCAGTGGGGGCTTTTCATTATAATACGTACAGAGGGAAGGTAACTGTGATTTTGTAGTTGACTGCTGGTTCCTAGTAAAAAAGTCTATGAGTCCGTAACGCCTGAGTTGCAGCGGATTGGACATACCTGCCTGGGGCGTAGAAGGGTCTATTTGTGGATCCACCTAATAGTCAAGGTAGATCACTTCAATTGCTCGCAGGCATTAGCTATGCCTGAAACTGGTATTTGACTCTCAACGTTGGCCTTTGAAAGCCATGTGCAACCTAACGGCCACACCCCGGTAACAATCTCGTCCGACGGGCTAAACCAGATGAGGGCATTTGATGCGGTGCGTCCCCACATGCAGTACCTCCGCTCGATTTCACCCCACCTTTCCATCTACACCCCTCGCATTCCCTCCTCCTTCTCAACTTCCTAACCCCTTAACTCTCTGCACCACACTCTTCCCCCACGGCCGTAAATTCTCCCTTCGACGGCGACATGCAATTACGTTGGCGGACAAAGCCAGAATTTGCTCTCCCAATAAACTAGCATGTCAACCAGAATGGAACTCGGCAGCCGTCTGGGACGATTGAACAGGCATATTTAGGGACAGCAATGCCTACACTTCCGTGGGCGAGGGAGCAAAAATGTGTCCAAAACGGATATTTCGCTCACGAAATCTGCGCACAGACCGCAGCCGTCAGCCTGGAATACATACGGTCGAAACATTCAAAGAAGAAACAACAATTTTCCTTTTCCCATTCCTCCACCCCTGCGCATCATAACAAATGCAAACATTTCGGGACTGCGGTGGGGGACCCGGTCGTCAGCGTACGTCGCACACGCTGAGGCCGTGCTACACCTGTGGATTATAAACCTGGTTATCTGTTCTGTGGACCAGGGGCTGTATAACAGAACGCCAAATTGCGGGCTGTACGGTGCACTCAATCAGTGTCCCCATCTGTCTCTGCTGTCTTTGACTATGTCTTAACACAGGGTTCAGATGGGAGCGGAGGAGAGAGTGCGGTAGATGGCGTACGCACAAGTCACCGTCCCTGTCCCACACTGTTGTGGAGCACACTGTGGACACGAAACCCACGGTGGGGAGGGGGCGTAGGGTGTCCAACAGTGGGTTCACATGATGGTCGTAGTAGGTCGTTTACTTGTTTGCAAGTGCAGACTACGCCTAGCGTCCACCTGCTGGTACCCAAATCTCACCTCCACCTGCCTCTTCGGGGAGCCGAAATCGCAACCATCATCAGCGCCTACGCCCTGTCGATGACTAACCCTGACGCCACAGGGGGCAAATTCTACGAGGACCTGCACGCCCTCTTGGCGGCTGTCGATGGCGGACAAGTTGATTGTCCTCGGTGACTTCAACGTCCGCGTCGGCATTGACCATGCAGCCTGGAGGGGAGTTCTGGGTCCCCATGTTCTCCGCAGCTCCAATGGCAATTGTCTGTTCCTTCTCCGCACCTGCGCAGAACACCGCGTCATCCTGACGAACACCTTCCTCTGTCTACGGGAGCAAGAGAAGGTCACGTGGGTGCATCATCGATCGCGTCAGTTGCACCTGCCGGACTATGTCCTCGTCCGGATGCGAGACTAGCGGGACGTGCTGGTGACAAAGGCGATTCCGGCTGCTGACGGCTGGCCGACCATCGCCTCGTCATCATAAAGATGCGGATTTGCATACAGCCTCGCAAGAACCACAAGGCAGGCCATTGCCAGGCAAGCTGAATACTGCCATGTTGTCTATGGCTGCACACAATTTCCATTTCAGCAATGAGCTATCTCAACGCCTAAACAACCTTCCAATCGCTACCGTCGCCCCGTTGCCGCCACCGCTGACGAGAACGCCTCCATGGAGAATCGATCGTGTCAACTGCGGGACACCGTCAAGCCGACGACTCTGGCCGTCCTCGGTCGCGCAATCGGCCAACACCAGGACTTGTTCGACGACAATGACGTCGCCACCTGCAATCTGCTCGCCGAGAAGAACTGTCTGCATCAAGCCTACGTTGACCACCCCACTGACGACAACAGATCTGCCTTCTACCGTCGTCTTCGCCTTGTAGAACAGCAGCTGTGGGGGAATCGGACGCGTAGACGGCTCGCAAGACCGGGACGATCCAAGTGTACGCGGACCGCAACGAACAGAACAACTTCTTCGCAATCAAAGCTGTCTACGGTCCGCCAACAAAATGCACTGCACCCATTGTCAACGCCGACGGCAGTACCCTATTTACTGAGAAGACACGAATTCTACATGATTAACCGAGCGCTTCCAAAGCGTCCTCCAACGTCCCTCCACCATTTCCAACGTCGCCATCGCCCGTCTGCCGCAAGTTGAGACCAACGCGGGCGTCGACCTTCTGTCCTCTGTCCAGGAAACCATCAGGGCCATACAGCAGCTCCCCAGCGGGAAGGCGTCCGGATCGGACTTAATCCCTTCAAAGATCTACAAGCACGGTGGTTACCCCCCATATGGATAAACTGACGGCGCTCTCTCAGGAGATATGGCTTCAAGAAGAATTTCTGCAGGAAATCAAAACGTCACGAGTGCATTTGGACGTGCATTTCTATACGCGGAAAGGAAACTGCCAGATCTGCGACATCCTGAATAACCACCTAGAACGGGGTCTTCTGCCGGAAAGCCAGTGCGTGGAACCACAAACATGATCTTCGCCGAGCGCCCACTTCATAAGAAGGGCCAGGAGATTCGAATCCGCCTGGACTCAAGCTTCGTAGATCTGAAGAAAGCCTTCGACACAGTGAATCGTGTAGGACTGCAAAAAATCATGCAGAAATTCGGCTCTCCCGAGCGATTCAATCCGATGGTACGTCAGCTCCGCGATAACATGATGGCGTTAGTCAGAGGCATTTGCAGTGACCAATGGAGTGACGCAGGGCTGCCTCCTGTCTTCAGTCTTATGTTTACTGCCATGCTGATGGATGCCTACCGTGACTACCGCCCCGAGATCCGTTCAGCCTGTAGGACGGATGGCCACCTGCTCAACCACAGGCGGATACACTACCAGTCGCGTGTATCCAAAACCACCGCTCACAAACTTCTCTCTGTCGACGACTGCCCCTTCAACGCCACCTCCAACGGGGATATGAAAAGAAGCATGGATCTCTTCGCCGCCGGTTGCGAAAACCTTGGCCTGGTCGTTAGCACGGAGAAGACGGTGGCTATGCATCAGCCGCCACCACATGCCGACACTCTAAGACCTTCCGGAGTCGTCTGGAGATTAATTTGTTCAAATGGCTTCGGTTGTGCCGGCCACTCTTTTGTTGTTGGTAAGAAATCTGGTCATTTGCTGTATGGACGAGGGGATTTGAAGTCGAAGGACAAGGTGCGGGCTCGACCGGGCCATACACTTGCACCCTCACCACCTCCAGTCTTTCATCCTCTGTCTTAACACTGAGTCCTGGTGGTGGTTGAGGATGAGGGCGTGCGGTAGCCGCAATGCAATTCCACATTTATTATAAATTAATCCATGCCCAAGTCGCCGTGTCTGCTTCAGCTTTCTGTGGGGCACACCGTAGACATCGTCGGTAACGACGGTCGAGCTAAAGTGTGCGTGTTTGAGCATGCGTACGACGCTCTTGCCCTTAAAACGGCCCATGCGATAGATGCGCTGGCCTTCTTCCCATGGCTTTCGAATTTACGCCTAAATCTTCATACATCCTATTCTGAGGCTAATGGGGAGCGGACATACTTCCTCCACTTTCTCTTAAACACCCATATATCAATAAATATGGTTATCTGGTATCGGTTGAGTAATTAACTCATCTTATCGTGTGCTGGAAGGTGCCGCCTACTGACTACCGACGTCAGTAGTTAGACGCGGCTGCATTCCTGCTAAGAAAGACCTACGCGTTTGTCCGAGATTCTCCAAGCGAGTCCTTCGGAAAGGCATAGGTAGGGTCTGCAAACTCAGGTTTACTTAAAGGTAGACTGAAAAAATGGCATTCTACCCAAAGCTCTACCTTCCTTTTAAATTAAAGACAGCGACAATGCTACTTAAATCTCTACCTCTAGGTGGTATTCCGGGCAGACACAACATCAGCCACTTCTGTTAGGCCAAACAACTCAGTGTAGCCCGCATGCTGCATTTTCCTGAGTTAGTATAGAATGCGGCGAGCACGTTTTCCACGGAAAACTAAATAACGATCATAATAGCTTTTTAGCCCATGTTTGTTTTATGCGTTGGCGGTTAGATGATACTTGGTAGCCCTCCTGACACCGCAAACTCAAAGCTGCCTGTCAATCGCGACAGGTGGTAATAGGAGCTATACGGGTGGGACAATTGAGTGAACGGGTAATTGGCAATTGTAGTATATGCAAGGAATTGGCGCTCCTGGTAAAGTGGAAGCCTAATTTAGATTAGGGGAAAAATACAAGGAAGGTATGGAAATGAGCAAGGAGACTTTGAACGGTGTGTGGAATAAATGCTTCCTGCCCACAGACTGGAAAGAAAAGCAAGTGAAATCGAACAACCAATGGGAGGAAGGCAACTGGTCCGAAGGTCATTCCGCAGTGTAAGCGATAGAACTCCATCCAACATAATGGACAGAAGGACACGAGAGTCAAGCAGCGACACGGGGAACGCCACAACGCAAGCCGGGTAAGACTTTCATTTGAAAAATTGGTTTGGGCGGACGTGAAAATCCGCAAATAATGAGGCAGTCGAAAGCTACCTCTGCTAATGAAAGTTGAAAAAGGATAGGCCTCACTGACATCGTTACCGCTGCCAATCCGCCCAAGACAGTACCTGTACAATGAATGAGGCAGTCAAGAACTACCTGTTCTTATGAAAGTTGATGTAGGGAAACCCTGATTGTCATCGTTACCGGTGCCCAGGATAGTACCTCCACAAAGAATCCGGTGTAGGTAATACAGCACGCATGCAAATTTAAAAGCATAATGAGAACGTAATCGTAGTTACTGAAATCAATCCAGTGGGTGCAAATGTAGATTAAGTGGGCACAGTTGCCAACTACCTCTTCTAATGAAATTTGACATAGGGTAAGCCTAATTGTCATCGTTACCGGTGCAAATCTGCCCAGGACAGTACCTGTAAAATGAATCTGATACAGGTAATACAGCGTGCGCGTAAATTAAAAATCATAATTAGAACGCAATCACACCTACTGAAATCGATCCAGTAGGCACCATTGTGGAGTCTGTGGGCACGGCTACCAACTATCGTCTTACCGCGTTTGCCATCAAACCCGTCCTCAGTCGATAAACACTTTGATTCGCAATTTAAGAATCGTCTGTAATGATACTGACAACTGACTGGAAGACCTTCATTTAGTATTGAATGGCTCTAATGCGAGGAATGGCTGAAAGTCGATTGATCCGTGCCTTTTTACTGGAATCAATGACTGACATATGGTTCTTTTCACATTCGTCAAACGTCTGCTCTAATGAGTTGATGATGACTTTTGAGTAGTCGTCTATTCGATATTCCATTACTCATTACGACTACTGTGAAACTATCTTCTGAATATGTCTGTAAATGGCGCAATGTATTCTTATCGTTGTGAATTATATAATCAAATTACAAATAATATACTGGACAAAATGCGCCCACATTCATACCGAATCCGAAGTCAGCATCATTAAATACAGGGATTCAGACTGGCAAAACTTAAAACTGCAAATGTGTCACAAATATCAGAGGGCACTAATTCCACACTTCATTTTTGTTGGAATCAATAAAAAAGCACAACTTCAAAATTATATTTCGTCTATTAAGGAAACTCTTTCGTACAGACGAAAAATAATATCATACTCAAGTAAACGATACTCTGGTGGGCGTTCTCTATAGCCATTGTTAGCCGAACAGGTAGTCGAGGGGTGCAAACGAAACCAACTCCTTTCTAACCTCCCCCGGCCAGGAGACATGCATGGATGGACGCGGCTCAACACAGACATTCAACTTCGTCATAACCATTCCTAACCAGGC